ATGTGCTTGTCTGTCCAGATACCAGTCAATATATTAGCTGACTCAGCGAATCTTTTTTTTCCGTGATTTACAATCATCACCCATTCAGAAATTGCCTTCATACGAAATACTGCTTTGGAGTTACAAAGAAATTTTACTTTGCTGCGATGCTTCACTTTTCTTATTTGTATAATACAAAGCAAACGGTTTGAAGACTTTTCCTGGTGCCCTCCTCGCTGGGGCAGACAGGCGCGATGTTCAAGCAATATCACCCAAAGGCTTTGCGGCGCCTGACACGGCACTCCGTGAGCGGCCCAGGGCAGAGGGCGGGCTGTGTGGCCACACTGTGGTCCCGGTTCGGTGTGGGCGAGGCCCGCGCGCGAGGTCGCTCGCTGCTCCCACCGGATTAGTGTAAATTCATTAGCCGCGTGTGTTGAGCACCGTGTCCCCCCAGATTAGCCGATACTTTCCATTTTCGGCCGCGTGGAATGGAATAGAGCCCGGCGCTGCTGTAGCCCCGGCTGTAGCCCCGGCTGTAGCCCCGGCTGTAGCCCCGGCTGTAGCCTGTAGCCGCCGCAGCGCGGCACCCGCCGCATTAGCTGCTCCACTACGCGCCGAAATGGCCTCGTTTTGCCGCCGCGGGGGACTCTCGCCTAAAATGTCGCAGAGATCAGCAAAGAGCTACACACCGACCGCCGCAACGGATTACGAATTAATTCGCTGGTCAGTAATGGATTCGAATGGCCCGCTGGCTGGCGCTGGCTGGCGCTGGCGGGGTCCCGGCGGGTACTGTCGCGCCCGCAGCGCCGCCCGCACCGCGCCGTAATGGGCGGGGGCCACCCTAACCTATAAAACCACCGGGCGGACCGGGAAGGCCGCGATCCGAGAGGAAATATTGGCCAATCTGAGAGCTGGCCGCAGCGGCCGGGGCTGCCGCTCCGCCGCCGCCGCCGGGCTGACGGGAGCCCCCTCCGCGCGCACTCGTCTCCGTCCGACCAGCGCCGGCCAACGTTTATCACCCGACCTGGACGGACTCTGCTGAGGCGCGGGGCAAACCGTGTTCTAGATCCTGTCACCCTCAAGCACATTCCAAGCTCATTCCAAGATCAATGTCACTGCTACCCAAGCACCTTACTCTTCTCGTTCAGAAACCATCGCGTATGACGTTATGACAGCATCAAGAACACAATGTTTTGGGTTGGGTGAACCAGGGGTTTGCGGGTTAGCGTATACGCGCCGGCGCGGACAGGTTTGACTACTCCACTTTGGGAATTCCGATGTGTACCACGGTATAAAATTTAAATAAAGTAAAATATAATGTTTACTTAAAGTAAATTGTACGTATAGCATAGATACACATGCTCAGCCCATGTAGGCATTTATAAACATCAGTGCAATTTCTCAAACGGAAATCTTCTTTGCAGGGCACGACACAAATACGAAAGCCAGAGTACGCTCCTCTAGCCCCCTTGCGGCTCATGTATTTTGCTGCAAGCAAAGCACCTAATCGTGGGCAGGCTCGAGGGGGCGGGGGTGGGATTTTCACCTGGCCACTCGCTCACTAACTTA